AGAGCGGCTGAACTGGAAGAACTAAGGGCGACAGAAAGATACACAGACAAGATGTTCTGGAACACAGCAGAACAATCCCACCCACAGTCTGATAGCTTCTGTGCTGTTCAAGAGGATGAAAGTCTCAGGGAAGGAGGAGTATCATGCAGCAGCAGAGGGAACTGATCCCATAATTGGAACCATCCTTCCAGATGATGTCATGGTATCCTCTTGCGCTGAGGATTTCTCTCCAGGGGAGGGACCACCTCTTATTAGGAAGAGAGAAATAATAGTAATCAGAGAATCATAGGACTAGAAGTTACCTCAAGAGGTCATCCAGTCCAGTCCCCTGCACTCAAGGCAAGACTAAGTATTATCTAAACCACCCCTGAAAGGTGTGTGTCTAACCTGCTCTTAAAAATCTCCAATGATGGAGATTCCACAACCTCCCTCAGCAATTTATTCCAGTGTTTAACTACCCTGACAGTTAGGAAGTTTTTCCTAATGTCCAACCTAAACTGCCTTCCTGCAATTTAAGCCCATTGCTTCTTGTCCTATCCTGAGGTTAAGGAGAACAACTTTTGTCCCTCCTCCTTGTACCAACCTTTTATGTACTTGAAAACTTATGTCCCCTCTCAGTCTTCTCTTCTCCAGACTAAACAAACCCAATTTTTTTCAATCTTCCTGCACTGGTCATGTTTTCTAGACCTTTAATCATTTTTGTTGCTCTTCTCTGGACTTTCTCCAATTTGTCCACATTTTTCCTGAAATTTGGTGCCCACAACTGGACACAATGCCCCAGTTGAGTCCTAATCAGTGCAGAGTAGAGCAGAAGAATTACTTCTTGTGTCTTGCTTACAAAACTCCTGCTAATACTTTCTAGAATGTTTTCTTTTTTTTTTTTGCAACACAGTGTTACACTGTTGACTCATATTTATCTTGTGAGCCACTATGACCCCCCCAGATCCTTTTCTGTAGTACTCCTTCCTAGGCAGTCATTTCCCATTTTGTATGTGTGAAACTGATTGTTCCTCCCTAAGTGGAGCGCTTTGCATTTGTCCATTTCTCCAGTTTGTCCAAATTTTAATTCTCCAAAGCACCTGCAATTCCTCCCAGTTTGGTATCATCTGGGAATTTTACAAGTGTACTCTCTTCTATGCCATTATCTAAATCACTGATGAAGATATTGAACAGAACCGGACCCAGAACTGATCCCTGCAGGACTGCACTTGATAAGCCCTTACAGCTTGACTGTGAACCACAGGTAACTACTCTCTGGGAACAGTTTCCCCACCAGTCATGCACCGACCTTATAGTAGCTCCATCTAGACTGTATTTCCCTAGTATTTTTATGAGACAGTCATGCGGGACGGTATCAAAAGCCTTACTAAAGTCAGATAGACCACATCTACCACTTCCTGCATCTCCACAAGGCTCATTACCCTGTCAAAGAAAGCTATTAGCTTGGTTTGACACTAATTGTTCTTGACAAATCCATGCTGACTGTTACTTATCACCTTACTATCTTCTAGGTGTTTGCAAATTGATTGCTTAATGATTTGCTCCATCATCATTCTGGGTACAGAAGTTAAGCTAACTGGTTAATTCTCCGGATTTTCCTTATTTCCCTTTTTATAGATGGGCAAATATAGTGCCATTTTCCAGTTTTCTGGAATCTCTCCTGTCTCCCATGACTTTTCAAAGAGAGTCAATGGTTCAGATATCATCTCAGTCAGCTCTTTGAGTATTCTAGGATGCATTTCATCAGGCCCTGGTGATCTGAAGACATTTAACTTTAAGTAATTTTTAACTTGCTCTTTTCCTATTTCAGCCTCTGATCCTACCTCATTTTCACTGGCATTCACTATGTTCAATGTCTAACCGCTTCTAACCTTTTTGGTGAAAATTGAAACAAAAAGTAATTAACCATTTCTGCCATTTTCAGTTATTGTTCTCCCCTCCCCCCCATTAAGTAATGCGCCTCCCCTGTCCTTGGTCTCTCTCTTTCTTCTAATGTATTCATAGAATGTTTTCTTGTTACCCTTTATGTCTCTAGCTATTTTAATTTCATTCTGCGCTTTGGCCTTCCTAATTTTATCCCTACATACTTGTGTTATTTGTCTATATTCATCTTTTGTAATTTGACCTAGTTTCCACTTTTCATAGGACTTTTTTTTTTTTGGAGTTTGATGATTGATGATCTCCTGGTTAAGCCAGGATGCTCTGTCGCCATACTTCCTATTTTCCCTACGCAGTGGGATAGTTTGCTCTTGTACCCTTAATAATGTCTCTTTGAAAAACTGGCAACTGTCTTCAATCATTTTCCCCCTTAGACTTGCTTCCCATGAGATCTTACCTACCAACTCCCTGAGTTTGCTAAAGCCTGCCTCCTTGAAATCCATTATCTTTATTGTGCTGGTTTCCCTCCTACCATTCCTTAGGATCATAAACTCTACCATTTCGTGATCACTTTCATCTGAGCTGCCTTCCACTTTGAAATTCTCAACCTGTTCCTCCCTATTTGTCAAAATGAAATCTACAACAGTCTCTCCCCTGGTAGCTTTCTCCACCTTCTGAAATACAAAGTTGTCTCCAATACATTCCAAGAACTTGTTGGATAATCTGTGCCCTGCGGTGTTATTTTCTCAACAGGTTTCTAGGTAGCTGAAGTTCCCCATCACAACCAAGTCCTGGGCTTCGGATGATTTTGTTACTTGTTTAAAAAAAGCCTCCTCCACCTCTTCTTCCTGGCTAGGGGGTCTGTAGTACCATGACCTCACCCTTGTTTTTTACTCTTGATCTTTACCCAGAGACTTTCAATAAGTCTGTCTCCTATTTCCATCTCAACCCCAGTCCAAGTGTATACATTTTTAATATAGAAGGGAACACCTCCTCCCTTTTTCCCCTGCCTGTCCTTCCTGAGCAAACTGTACCCTTCTATACCAATATTCCAGTTATGTGTATTATTCCACCAAGTCTCTATGATGCCAACTATGTCACAGTTGTGTTTATTAACTAGTATTTCAAGTTTCGCCTGCTTATCCCCCATACTTCTCGCATCAGTATACAGACATCTAAGATACTGATTTGATTCCCCCCCCCCCCCCACGTTCTCTCGTCTCTCCCTTAACCCTGCTATAATGGCCCATGCTCCCCCCAGATTCCGAACCTTCTCCCAGGTCTCCATGTTTTTGACTTGGATTGGGGGATTAGATTATTAGAAATAAAGATAGTTGGGTTTGTGATAACCAGGAGAACTGCATGGTAAACTCCCTGCCAGGTGAAAAGGTTGCAAACCTCTCAAGCCATCTGGACAGATGTACATGCAGTGCTGGGGAGGCTCATGGTATAGGTAGGTACCAATGACATATGGAAAATGTAGGAGGCCAAATTTAGGCTGCTAGACAAGAGATTAAAGTCCAGGACTGCCAGGATAGCATTTTCCAAAATTCTTCCAGTTCCAGCTGGATAAGGCCAGACAGACAGGCAGAACTGCAGGCTCTCAATGCATGGATGAGATGATGATGCTCAGAGGAGAGACTTGGTTTATTGGGAACTGGGGAACATTTTGGGAAAGGAGGCACCTATACAGGAAGAATGGGCTCCACTGAAACCATAACGCTGGCATGTAAAATCAAAAAGGTCAGAGGAGTTTTTAAACTAAGAGCTGGGGGAAAGCCAAAAAGTGTGGAGGAGCACATGGTTCAGACAGACACATCCCTTAGTGGAGGATTCATTAAAGAGAATACTCTATGTCCTAGTGAGGAAGAGAGGATAGAAGTGGATAAAATACACATAGGAACTGAAGAGAAATGGTCAAATGAAAAAGAGTGCTATTCAATTATATCACAGTGAAGATATCTGAACCATTGACTATGGCACAGAATTGACTGTGCCATAGTCAATGGTTCAGGTGGTTCAGATGGTTCAGGTGGTTCAGGACACATGGTTGATGGTTCAGATGGTTCAGGACACAATGTGCCATTGACTATGGCAAAGAATTCACTGAATATTGACAAATTTTATAAACGTTTGTATACAAATGCAAGTAGTATAAATACTAAGAAGGATGAATCTGAGCGCCTGGTATTAAATTAGGCTCTAGGTGCCCCTAAACCTCCGACTGCTAGAAGCCGGGACTGGACAACAGGGGATGGATCACTCGATAAATTGCCCTGTTCTGTTAGTTCCTTCTGGTGCGTGTAGCACCAGCCAAGGTCGGAAGGCAATATGGCCATTCTTATGTTCTTAAACAAAAAACTGCCCCCAATACACTCCAAGAACTTATTGGATATTTTGTGTTTTGACGTGTTACCTTTTCAATAGATGTCAGGATAAATAAAGTTCCCCACTATTACCATGTCTTGAGTTTTGGATATTTGTTATTTGTTTTAGAAATGCCTCATCCATGTCCTCCTCCTGATTTGGTGGTCTATAGTAGACCCCTACCATGACATCACCTTTTCCCCCCCATAGTCTGATTCCATGGATTTGGAAGTTGATGTCTGAGTGAGTTTAAAATGAGGAAAAACCAATTTTGCCCAGACATCATACAAAAGTTAAAACTGCTGTATCTTAAAAACATCACCACCACACACTTAGTGTTTCTAGACATTCGGCCTACTTTCATTTCCACGTGATATAATTTTCATAATACCCCAGGTGGGAATTTCCCAGCCATACCAAACTGGTTATTGCTGTCTGAAACAAAGTTGTGACATGGCCAAGAACATGACCTTCACTCCTTTGTATTCCCTGAAATGGAACTGAACCCCATGGGTTCCAGGTAGGATTTTCAGAAGCCTTGGCCTTTTCCTTGACTTTAATGGGAACAGAAGTAGGCAAACACTGATCACTATTGAAAATCTTGCTCCAGGACTTCACATTAGCCACCGTCTCTTGATTTTTATGGCTTCTACAGGGTCTTATACATGGCAAACACACCCAGCAAGCTACCAGGGATATAATGGGACCACAGGGGCCTTGCGGGTCAACATGGTCCCCTAAGTCATGGCTCCTACCTGGGCTTGTAGAGGCAGCAGGAAAGTCGCTTGGTTTGCACTTTGTGTCCATGGATGAAGATCCTCATTCTGGGATCAATATAAAGGACAGCAGCATAGGCACGGAAGGAGCGACGCTCCGGCTTCCTGCAAGAGGAGGGAGCTTACAGAAACGAGATAGTCTAGTCAAACCCAAGCAGTGCCCTCTACTCCACTTACCAGAGAAGACAGCCCATCCTACCCAGCCCTGAGCAGCACCCCAACACTCTCCCCATACCAAGTTTATGACTTGGTATGGGGAGAGTGTTGGGGTGCTGCTCAGGGTTTGGATAAGATCTATTTCGTTGGTTTAGGACCAATTTGTTTATTTTCTTGCTATAAACCAGCTTGAAGGGTGGACAAAACAGCCTACCTGGCTCGTGTCTGCATTCCACCATGATGAGCCACCCTGAGCACTGTCCCAGGTTCCCCTTCACTGAGAAGCCTTTGCCCATCCATATCAGTCTCCCCTTTACTGAGCAAAGAGCTCTAACTGTGCGTGTCCGACCAGTGAACCAGACTCCCTTACACTGAACAGACGGTTCACATCCCAAAAAGGCCCCACCCGCAGTCCTTTGAACAGAGAACCCAACATTCAAATCCAGTCCTACTGCCCCCTCATCTTGGTTAGGCAGCTAGCCTCACCTGAACTCCATGTCTGGTCACAATGTAGGTGTAGCCACCCAACTCAGTCACACTCAAACAGTTCGGGGGGGGGGGAGGGCTAGAGATTTGCCTTCCGTCCCAGTAATCCCTTCTTTCAAATGATTATAAAACTCACTCTGTACCCCAGGTCCCTCCCTCCCCACATCTGAATTAACCAAGTATCAGTGTCACATTTGCTAATGTGCTATTGTCCTCTTTGGGCATCCAAAGCACAAGAATAACTTACATGAGCTGTTAAGTGCATCTAAGATGCATGGCTGCATAGCAGCCTATTAAGCACCACACAGGCAGGCGCTCAGGGCTGTGGCAGAGAGAGATGCCTTTCCACCAGCCCCGGACCTGCTGCAGCTGGAGCAGAGGCGTCCCTCCCCACGCCCGGCCCCAGCCTGGGGAAAGGCGCCCCTGCCCCAACCTGCCGCAGCTAGGGGAGAGGCGCTCCTCCCCCGGCCCCAACCCAACCCAGCTGCGGCTGAGGCACCTCTCCCCCCACAGCCCAGGTGCTGCTGTGGGGAGAGAGAGCTGGGGGGAGTCCTCTCTCCCTACCACAGCCCCAGGACAGCCTGCACCCCAAACCCCTCAACCCCGGCCCCACCCCAGAGCCCACACTCCCAGCTGGAGCCCTCTCCCACCCCCAAACCCCAACCCTCTACTCCAGCCTTGAGCCCCCTCCCACACGCCGAATCCCTCCACTCCACCCCCACCCAATGAATTTCATTCTGCACGTTCTTGGACAAAATTAGAGGGAACACTGAGCAGGAGAGCCAAGGAAAGTCTGAAATCCCAACCTGATGCACTCCAAAATGCAGAATTCTCATCAACTCACCGCATAAACAGGACACATCAACCTACAACCACCATAAGCCATTCATACAGACAACCCCAGCATCTGTTGCACTTACGTTCCTTCAGGGGGTGTTTCTGCCATCTGGATATCTCGGGGGTCGGAGGTCACATCCAGCTCTGGCTCCCCATTATCCATCAGTTTGAGATTAAAGATAATCACCAAGGTCCCTGAGTAGGTGACAAACTTGAGGTTAGCTCCATCTAATGCCATCCAAATTTCTTCTCCTGTTTCATCTCCAATTGCCACATGCCCAGCACCAGTTTACACTTACCCTTCTCCCCAGGGATTTTCTTAAACTGCTCCATCACCTCTTGTTCCGACTTGAAGGGGGAATACTTGTAAATGAGCTCAGTCTCAATAGAAAATTTCTCCATGTTGTCGGTCATGGGCTCCTGGGTACGTGTGTTCCAGGTGGGCAGCGGGACAATCACCTGTGGAAAGGATTGGATGGGGATTAAGATAAAGCTCCAACCCTTTCTCTTGAGAAAGACACACTTCACTGGCTCCCATGCTTGGGTTAAGTTATTTCTTCTGATGGCCTCTACCTACAGCATTGATCCCCTTCCTACTCAGCTGTTATTGGAGGGGGTATTAACTCAGTGTCCAACACCCAAAAACCGTGGTTTCCCATCCCCTCAGAGTTACCTTTTTATACAGTTCATCTTCTCAGACCAAGATATTTTACCCCAAGTACAATGGAAACCACAAGAAAAATCAACCTCAGAACAGGTTCTTTTCCTCTTAGAAGCTCAGATGAGGTACAGAGAACAACAGAAGGTTGATCTTAGCAAATACCCAGCATTCTATTTTAGACTGACAAAGGGCATGCAAACCTCATCGATGCCTTCTTCCTCGTGAAATGTGCGCGACAGGAAGAGGCAGGTCATGGTGGTGTCTTTCTTAGTGAAGAGGATAAAATCCTTCCCAATCCGCATGGAACCCCTGGAGGCAGATTTTAGAGCGTGTGGAAAGTCAGTCTGAAAAACTCAACACTTCCTACTACAAGTCCCGGGCTACCAGGGTCCCTTCCCCTCAACTATATTCATTTTGAAATGCAACAAACATGAGATAATATCTGAATATCTCAAAATGGTTTAAGACAAACATCTTGTCATGCTATACAAACAAAAATCATTCAGGCCCGAAATAACTTGATTCACCCCACAAAAATGACAATCCAGAAAAGGACATATTTTCGTAGGATTAGATGGAGGCCTGTGGGCTTGTTCCCCAAAACATCCAGCACCAGCTATAGCCAAAGGTAGGATCTTCTAGCTCCACAGAAAACCTGCTCCAGACTCACGTGGATGCATATACAGCATAAGGCCAAGTGGGCATCACTTTCTCCAGCCATGTGGGCAGCAGCAGTGGCAACCAGAAGAGCTTACAGGGTGCAAACTATGGAATCACTACAACCTTCAGAGCTCCTTGCCCACAGTGGCCAGCACTAGCTCCAGGGCACTGGACCCAGTGGCCTCCCGAACAGCCCTGCCCAACCTTACTCTCCTTTCCCATTTCTACCTCTCTCTGCCAGTTTCCTTCTCCCCCACTCTTTCACCATTTGCTTCCCCTGAAGCACTCCCCCAGTAAAGGAAAATGGAAGTTACTTATGTGTAACTGGAGGTTCTTTGAGATGTGTGGTCCCTTTGTGATTCCACACATAGGTGCATTGTGTACGTGTATACCCGAGTCTGGAGATTTTTAGTAACCGTGTCCCTTGGTCCGCACATGCACAATTGCTCTCCTCGTGCCCTGAACCAAGGATAGAAGGGAAGTGTGGAATGATGATGCTCCAGTTCCTCCTCTTACCATGAATCCAGTCATGATACGCAATGCGGGGATGGACGACAGATAGTGGAATACAGACCACACATCTTGAAGAACCTCCAGTTACAAGTAACCAACCTCCATTTCTTCGAGATGGACTGGAGATTAGCAAACAGGAGTCAAACAGGAGGTGGGTGCAAGGATGCAGATGGTATGGATATGTGCAGTACTGCCATTCCCACAGCTTTATCTGCAGCAGAGGTTTGGCCTAATGCATAATGTTTTGTGACAGTATGGACAGAGCTCCAGATAGCCACCCTACACACATCTAATAGAGGTATGTCTCAAGAGGTTGCTTGTACTCTAATGGAGTGGATTCTCATGCCCTCCCAGGGTTAGAGGAAGGATATCTGCTAGTTGGTAAAGAAGGATGATGCCGCTTGAGCTCCATTCAGAGAGCGTCTCTGGGTAGATGATAATGCTTGACCCTTGATCACTTTGCTGAGGCAATAAATAAATAGTCTACATGTTTTCCTAACTGCTTTTGTTCTCTGCAGATAGAATGCCAGTGCCCCGCTGGACATCTAGAAAAAGAGTGAAGTCTTCTCTCCTCATCAGAGGTATGAGGCTTTGGAAAAAAAAAAGTACCAATAAGTGGATGGTTTGATTTATGTGAAATTCAGGAATTACTCTAGGAATGAATTTTGGTGGAAGTGAAGAAAGACCTTTTTATGAAAAATGGTATATAATGGATCTTCCATGAGTGCTCCCAGCCCGCTCACCATTCTGGCTGATGCAATGGCAACTAGGGAGGCAACTTTCATCAACAGGTGGGACATGGAACAAGTGGCTATTTGTTCAAAAGGAGGAGATGTGGTAAATACTGAAAGTATTAGATTAAGATCCCATTGTAATGTTGGTTTAACCACTGGTGGGAAAATTCTAATTAGTCCAATCAGAAATCTAATTGTCTTTGGAGGAGTGAAGATCGTATGATCTTCAAACACAGGATGAAAGGCGCTCACTGCTGCGAGGTGGACTTTATTCCAGTAGGTTGGTGATATGCATGTTGGCTTCTCAAGGGGTCCAGGTGCCTTGTGCAATGTGATTGTCAATGTGGGCTCCCCAACATAAGAGGGAAGCATCCATGACAACAGTCACCTCGGGTAAGGGTGTGAGAAAAAGAACCCTCACAAACTTTTTCTGGGTTTGCCCACCAGGCAGGAGAAGCCATCATCTTGGCCGGGATTGTTATTCTGGCACTGTCATAGAAACATAGAATATAAGGGTTGGAAGGGACCTCAGGAGGTCATCTAGTCCAATCTCCTGCTCAAAGCCCCAGCCCTGTCGTCTGGTAAGTAGACAGACTGAAGTCAGGTTTGTAGACAGTGGAGGTGGAGCCTGGAAAATGGTGTTACGTGAGTGCATGAGGCCACATGGCCTAGAAGGGAAGGGCAGACACTGACTGGAGTCTGAGGTTTGATACAGACCTATTTTATCATATTGCTCTTGGTGCGGAATCTCTCCATCAGGAGAGGTAGACTCTTGCTGTAGTCAAGTCCAGAATAGTTTCTATGAAATCTGTGGTCCTTGTGGGAATCAAAGTTGACTTTTCTTCGCTGATACAGATTCCCAGGAGAGATAACAGACTAGAAATGGGGTTGCTGACTGGATCTCCATGCTGGATCTGCCCATCAGTAGCCAGTCGCTGAAATCTGGAAAGACAATAAAGCTGTTTCTTCTCATCCAGGTCGCCACCACTGAAAAAGACTTTTGCAAGACGGTAGGTGCCATAGCTAGTCTGAACAGGAGGAGTCTGAATTGGTAATGGTCTCGTGGGGGAGATGCTCACATGCAGAGAAGGTGGGGAAACCAGAACTGGCAAGGTCAGAATGGGGTTATGAGAGTAACTCTGGCTCTCTCCCTCCTGATCTTGCAGAAGAAATGCGAAAGCAGGGGTTGAGGGGGGGGAAAGGTGTAATTGATCTGGTCTGACCAGCGGATGACAAGGGCTTCGCCTTGGGAATGCGTGCCAAGATCCCCTCTGGAGCAGTATGTGATGATTTGCTATTGCCATAGAAGGCAAAGAGATCCCTAGTCAGATCTGGTCTGGTTGAAAATGTCGCTGACCTACGGTGTCATGCCATTCATGGTCAGTCACCAATTTCCTGCTGAGAGCCAACAATCATGTTCTGAGTCCCTGGAAGATAGGCCGCCAACAACAAGATCTTGTTGGCAATGCACCAATTGCACAACCAGAGCACTTCTGCACAAAGCGCCAGTGACCACATGCCCATTTGTTGGCATAATAAACTGTAGTGTTATTTTCAGAGTAGCAGCCGCGTTAGTCTGTATCCGCAAAAAGAAAAGTAGGACTTGTGGCACCCTAGAGACTAATGAATTGAAGTGAGCTGTAGCTCATGAAAGCTTGCTCAAATAATCGGATGCATTCCGATGAATAGTATTATTGTCCAACATAATGAGAATATGATGGGAGCAAACCGATGGGAGAAATACATGACACCCTCTGTACCGCTCAAAGCTCCAGACTGTTGATATGCACTCTGGATCCCCAAGTGGTCCAAGTCCCCTGCGTCATGTGCTCGCTCATATGGGCACCCCATCTGGCAAGTGATGCATCTACGATGATCTTCATGGCCGGGAAGGATGGAAGGAAGGGCATCTCTTGCAGACCTGACGAGAGAGTCTGTCCACCATTGGAAGGAGGATAGTACATCCGGGGGAAGCTGTCAGCAGAAGGTCCATGGTACGTCACGTGGGAGACTAGACCTTCTGGAGCCACAGGTGAAGGTACAGATGGGCGAAGGCAGTGATATATGTGAGGCCACCATATGGCCATGGAAAGAAAGGCAAGTCCTGACTGGAACAAAAGGACTGATGACCACTTGGCAATCAGCTCCTGCAGCATCTGAAATCTGTCCCTCAGTAGGCAGGCTTGTGCCAAAACTACATCAATAGATGCCCCAATGAATTCTAGGAACTGTTGGGGTCCAAAATTGATTTTTCAATGTTTACATTCACCCCCAGGGAAGAGAGAGAAGTATAAGCAACATGGAGGTCGAGGTTCGAGCCTCCCTCGTGGATCATTCTGCTAAGAGCCAGTTACCAAGATACAGGAATATAAGGACCCCCTTATGCCAGAGGTGTGCTGATAGTACAGACAAAACTTTGGTAAAGACTCATGGAGCCATGGTGAGTCCAAATGGTAGGACCCTGTATTGGAAGTGCCAAAGGCCAACTGTGAACTTTAAGAACCTCTTGTGGGTTGGATGGATGTCTATGTAAAAATAGGTGTCCTGCATATCAAGAGCTGTAAACCACATTCCTTTTTCTAGCGAAGGGATGATGACTGCTAAGGTGACCATGCAAAACTTCTTGTTTTGCATATGACCCGACTGAGATGGAGGTCCAAGACTGGTCTCCACCTACCCTTCTGCTTGGGTACAAAGAAATAAATGGAGTAAAATCCTGCGCCGATAGGTCGGAGGAACTGCTTCTATCACTCCCCTTTTCAGTAGGGAGTCCACCTCTAGGGTGAGGATACTGTCATGGGAGTGGTCCCTGAGGCAGGATCAGGGCAGGTGATGAGGAAGCGTTGTGAACTTGATTGCATAGCCATGTCAAATGACATCCAGGATGCACTTGTCCATTGTTATACTCCAATCTGGTAAAAAGAGTACTAGACACCCCCCTAAAGGGTGTGGGTCAGGTGTAAGGCAGGAGACAAGGTGGTTGGCGGCTCTCTAGGTGCACTCAGAAATATTTCTTCAGCAAAGGCTGAGCATGTAATGTTGAATACTGTGATGACAGACCTGAAGGACGAGCTCTTTGAGTCTTCTGCTGCTTGTGAGGAGGTTCACAGGGCCATTGATGGAAGAAATGAGGAGCTCTGAACCAACATGCAGGTGCCTGAGGGAAGAACTTATACTTTGGGTGTAGATACCTTGGGGACCATAAAGTGGCTCTGGAATCCATGAGGGAGTGACAGGAATCATTGGTCTCCTGACTGAAAGGAAGGTCCTCTATAGTATTCTGCACTTCCCTGGGCACATAACGGGTGGATCTGGCAGTTTGTTAAACTTATCGTGCTTGTGACCTGTTTCTCTGTGGCTAGAACTCATGGAAGATGCATTATCCTTCTTGAGCCTGGAGGGAGACTTACGGCCATGCTTCCTTGCCCCCCTACCGGGCCCCAGCATAGGGTCCGTAATACTGGTACCAGCAGAACCAGACTTAATCTCCATGGCAGGAGGCACGCTCCTGGGCTTCTCAGGCTGATGTATGGGGCGGGGCGCGAAGAGACTGACGCTTCCAGCCTGGATCTGACGGCAGCCTCATGATAACCTCTATGAGGTGCTTCTTGAGGTGGAGAGCCTAGTCTTCCCAGGTACAGTTTGGGAAGGACAAGCAGATACTGCACCTAGATCAAATGTGGGCTTCTCCCAAGCAGTACAGGCAACATTGCTCATCACTGACCAAGAACAAATGTGGACAGGAGGAGCAGATCTTGAACCCCGATGTTGTCAGCATAATCCAGGCATGGATGCTGAGGGGTGGGGAACCAGAGAAATGGAGTCCCCAAGTGTCTTAATCCTGAAAACTAACACAAAGACTAAAATTACTGAAAAAAAAAAGCAACCAAAACTGTGTATAATTCTAAAAACTGGTGGTTTTTTGTTTTTTTTTAAGTGCATCAGAGAAAGGTGAGAGGACAGCAGCAGCTTTGACTCGGATCATGTGGTGGTGAGAAAGAACTGAGGGCGCAGTCAGCCTGCCCAATCCTTTGTTGCCTCGGATGAAGCCATGAGGTGGAGCAAGGGCACATGTGCGGACCAACAGAACTACTACTTTTAAATTCTCAGGTTCCAGACACATAACCTTGAGTGGAATCCAATAGGGACCATCATTCAAAACGTCACTCCTTGGTGGAATGAAGTAGCACTTCTCAACCCTTTTTGGGGAGGGAATGCACAAGGCAGGAGTTCATCACACTACTGTGGCCTCACTGACTGGGAGGGTCACTCGACTGGGACTCAAGGGTTGTAAAATGTTCAATAGTCTATTCTGAAGCTCTTGGAACCTCCTTGAGCTGGATCTGGAGCTCAGATGCCACTCTTTGTAAGAGTTCATGATATTGCCTGTGATCATCAGGCAGAGCTGGTGAAGATGGGGTGACTACTTCATTTGGCAAGGACAATGAAATGGCCACTGAAACTCCTGAATCTGGCGCAACTTCCTCCTCTTCACACTCTGATGAAGCCAGTTGGTGTCAGCTAAGAGAGGGTAGATAAGGTTCATGCATAGATCTGAGGTGCCTAGAGAGTAAGGGTCCCAGGGAGGGAGGGATAGCTCGGTGGTTTGAGCATTGGCCTGCTAAACCCAGGGTTGTGAATTCAATCCTTGAGGGGGCCATTTAGGGATCTGGGGCAAAAATTGGGGACTGGTCCTGCTTTGAGCAGGGGGTTGGACTAGATGACCTCCTGAGGTTCCTTCCAACCCTGATATTCTATGACTTCAGTAATGCCAGCATGAGCAGTCAACCAGTTGGAGCCAACCTCATGGCACTGGGAAGTCATATCTTGGCAGAGACAGGACCCTGATCTACTGGAGCTTCTGATCAGACTCATCTCCCTATGAAGGGTAGAGGTTCATCTGGAGCCTCTGACTCATCAGATCAGAAGGTAGGTTCCCAACTGACAAGCAGAACCATCAGTACCAACAGATGGATACTCAGATTTGTGGATAGTAGAGATCACCCCAGTGTCTTCGAGGTGGTTTCTTCCAGGTGTGATGCTATATCTAAATAAAGTTGGACTTAAGAGGAGAGGGGATTGAGGACAGGAAGAGCAAAAATGTACTCCAGGGAAACATAGGTCTCAGACCACCTCAAGGTGCTAGGTGTATGGGTGGTTGGGCCGCTAGACCCGAGACTTCCCTGGATATAGTGGACATTGAATCCTTTTGGGGCTCTGTTGGTATCGGTACAGAGTCTGATCTGGATGGGTCCTTTGGCTTATACATCAGCATCAAGATTGGTACCAATGGATCCATACTCCTACGGGCCACATTCTCCTGCAGTGGCTGTTTACCTGGGCCTAAGTCCTTATCATCCATGTGCACGGACTCGCCTGACTTGGACAGAATCAGGGATGGATCTTTTCAGAGCATATTTTACAGAGGATCTGTACCGATGCTTGTGACAGTGCCCCTTACTCTAATAAGAGGCCTTTCATTCGCTAGGCTTGGAAGTTGTAGTCTCAGCTCCTGAGCTCATGTTCAGAGGGGCACTGCCAATTTATTGAGACCAGTGTACAGAGGGGGCTCCTTGGCCCAGATCAACTGGGGTCTCAGGGCTTTTTCAGTCTGAGCTCTCAACCCCAAGTCTGAGGAGGGAAGCAATGGCAGATGCAGAGACGTGAACCTCACTGAGACAGTAAAGGCAGTGCTGGTGTTAGTCACACACTGAAAAGAAGCAGGGGTAGGAAACACGGAAACAGTTCTTAAACCCCAGGACACAAGGCATAGTCCTTGCCTTCAGGAGAGAATTTTCCCAAGGCAGGGAACAAATAGTGAAAATACTAAAATACTACTATTTACAATATATAAGTACAGATTAAAGAAAATGACAGAAGCAGCTGCAGACCCAGAAGATTCTGACTCAGGTCATGTGACAGTAAAAAGAAATTGGAAGAGGGTTGGTCCATACCACCCATTGTACTCTTGGTTCAGAACACAAGGAGAGTAACTGCATGTGTGAACCAGTGGACACTTTTTACTAAAAATCTCTGGACTCAGACATACAGTGCACTTGTGTACCCATATATGGAATACAAATAAGGACCATCACTTGAAGAAAACTAGAATTTCTGTAACTTGCCTTTGCATTAGAAAACTGTTCAATTGAGAGGCAGCATGCTCCGGCAGATGTTGCACTGGACCGGACTCAAGATACCTGGATTCTATACCGAGTTCTACCAATGACCTGCTGCATAACCCTGGGTGAGTCACTTCTCTTTGTGCACTATCCACCCTTTGTCCATCTCGTTTATTTAGACTGTGAGCTCTTCAGGGCAGGGACTGTCTATTACTATTGCTTTTGTTTGTACAGTGCCTAGCACAATGGGATTCTGATCCTGGTTCATGCCTCTAGGAACTACTGGAATACAGAAACCCATTAATCTAAATTCTGGGTCAGACATTTCCCCCTGTCCAATTGCCCAAATTCACCAGACTTTAAAAGAGGAAAAAAGTGGAAAAATTAGTGGTCCAGGCCACACTTTTCAGAGGCGACTAGTGATGCTAGATATCCAGCTGACACCTAAAATTGAGACACCCAACAGTCACTTTTAAAGTCTTGGTGTCCCCAAAATAAGCTTTCATTTTGGTATGTTACTCCAGGGGGAATTCTGCACATCTGTGGATACACAGAATTCATCTGTCCCGCATAAATTTTGTCATGTCGTCCCCCCCCCGCATAAAATACATTCTGCCCAAGAAGTATTGCATTTCCACCTTTTGCCCACCAGAGGCTGCTCTAGCCCAGAATAGCCAGCCACATGGACACAGCCAGCTGTTCTCGTGCCCCAACAGCCCCTGGTGTGCAAAAGGCAGAACTGCAGCACTTCTGGGGCAAAATGTATTTTCTATGGGGAAAAAAAATTTCTGTGAGTGCCCAGTATTGCAGAATTCCCCCAGGAGAAGAAGTTCATCACAGCACCCTGCCTGCAGAGTCAGGTCAGGACAGAGTGTGGCACACAAGACTGTTGGGGGTGCGTGTGTCACAGACTGGGATTCAGAAAGGCTAGTGGGGGTGGGAGGGGAGACAGACTGGGCATGGGCTCAGGAGCTTGTGGGGTGACAGTGTTGAGCCACAGGAGGTTGGTTGCAGGAACACTTGGGGATGGGGGAGGAGGCTGCAGAGACCCATGGGGATGGAGGGATCCAGGGACAGGGCAGATGCGTCTGACTGAATGGGAAAGGCTTGTGGTCAGCTAGGGTCTGCATGGGGGAGGCTTCCCAACTCCCTAACAATCCCTCCCACCCCACCAAAAAAACCTTCTCACAACCACACCCAAAACCCTCCAGGTTCACTCCCAGGCTTCTTCCCTCTCCCTCAGCTCCTCAGTTACCCGACACCCCCAAGTCTTTGCACTGCTTCTGACAAGTGCAGGAAATACAGTTCTGTATTGTAATTTAAATGAATTACTCAAAGTGATCACTCTCGTTACAGCGTGTATGGTAACACCCATTGTTTCATGTTCTCTGTGTATATAAATCTCCCCACTGTATTTTCCACTGCATGCATCCGATAAAGTGAGCTGTAGCTCATGAAAGCTTATGCTCAAATAAATTGGTTAGTCTCTAAGGTGCCACAAGTCCTCCTGTTCTTTTTGCGGGTACAGACTAACACGGCTGCTCCTCTGAGACCTGTCAAAGTTCTGTATTAATATTATTTGTCAAAAAAATTTTACGTGAATCTTTTTTTTTTTGGTCTGTATTGTTAGACATACTTGTTAACAGATATTTTGAAATAAATTACCAAAATAATTGAAACTGGCATTATTGTGTTATTTTGACAACTAAAACATGCAGAATTTTTAATTTTCTGGCACTCAATTTTTAGGTTTTTTGCAGAATTTTTATTTTTTTTGGCACAGAATTCTCCCAGTAGTATGTGCCCCAAACCAAAAGAGCAAATTCTGAGAAAATCAGAACTTCATTCCCAATAAAGATTCACAATCATCCCAGAAAAGTCTTTGGGAATCCAGCACTGGTAGCCACGTTGTATCTACAGGATTCATCTTTAGAGGTCACCACCATAGTCTCCTATTAGCAAATGGTCAATTCAAACCTCATTATGATATTGCCATGTAGTGTAAGTTATTGTGATGTCATAGCCCTAGGACCAACTTCATTGCCTGAGAAAGAGTTACAAGGAAAGTGACAGACATACAGAGAGTGTATCCAAAGCTAACAAATAAAGCCACCCATAACTCCCTTATGGTAGCTTTTTAAATGGGACTTTAAGTGTTTCCTTTTTACAGAAGAACATGAAGCTCAACATTTGCTGGCCCTCTATAAGCCAAACTTCAAGATCTCAGAAGGCTGGCTTCTGTTATACCTACGATTTCAAGCCGTTCCCATACTGCCCAATTTGAGTAGACTCTGGTGATCGTTTGGACGATTTACCAAACTGAATCACACTTGCAGCATCACCTGGAATGACAGAGAAAAAGTATGTAAAAAATATTTTATACATATATTCTCTCTCACACACACAGTTTTTTTACAAGACTATCATGATTATATTACACAGTGACAGATTACATTACACAGTCCAAACACTGGAGGCCAGAAAAAAGGTTGGTTATGGCTGTGATTTTTTAAAAGATATTTTTATACCAGCAAAAGGAATAATGCAGATTCAATCATAATGGCAAAAGAACCTTTGCGAGTAACGCTTACTTCATTCGGTGAAACAGTATAAACTATTTTGCTAGTTGAAGCTGCATTTACTTTAAAATGGTTTGCTCATATAGTTATACAAGCAAACCTTTTCTAGTGTAGACTAGACCCAGGACCCTTCAGAATTCCACAGAGATACTGTTCTTCTCTCACAAAATAGGGAAATCTTCTTCTGCTCTTAGGTCCAAAACAATTCCAAATACCACCTTCAGGTTAAAAGAACCCAGCAGGACACCTACAGCAAAGATTCTGCTGCAAACATTATTCAATATCATCAACATTTTGTAAAATACAAAAGCATAAAACTCCCCATAAGTCTTTGCACCCATTTCCAAGTCTTTCCTCTATGAAACAATGATCATTTTAACAAAATAGCACTACTAACCAGAGATATGCTGATAAAACAATTGTAAATTCACTGGCAGGTTTCTAGAGCATTGGCTCAAGAATGCTTAAATGGTATTAAAGTAGTATCATTCCAATATGTAAACAAAGAGTATTAAATATTACAGTTGTATTAGCATTAGATACATGGTGCAATCACAATGGAAAGGATGTGACGTGATAAGAGAATATGATTATTCTGAGGTTGTAGGTTTTGGGGACTATTTTTTTATTTGCTTTCCACCACATTAATTCAGGTCTTCCATTATATGTGAGATGGGAAGCCAGCATTTGAAACTACACGCAAAGTGTTAAGCTTCTGTAAGTCCAAGGGATAATGGCTCAGCAAATGATTCCTTTGTGAGGTAACTGAATCCTCAATAAATTCTTTACTGAGATAAGAGGTTACTTACCTGTAACAGGGGATTCTTTGAGATGCATGGTCCTTATTTGTATTCCAAAACGTGAGTGTGCATGTGCGCCATGCACCAGAGACAGAAGATTGTTGTATCAGTATCCATTGGCCTGCACATGCCGCAGGCGAGGTTATATGAAGCTGTGAGGGATGACACCCCACCACAGTCACCCTCTCACCATCGAGCAACATGGACCACAACAGAGGGGACGGAGGGTGAGTACTGGAATACAAATAGGGACTATACATCTTGAAGAACCTTCAGTTACAGATAAGTAACCTCCTCCTCTTCTTCAAGTGATGGTCTCTATATGTATTCCAAATGCAGTTGAGTACCAAGCAGTGATCAATGTGGAGAAGGTTGCGTTGCAAGGATGCAAGAGGTACTGCAGTCTGAAGGAAGGCACAACCCACGGCTGCATCGGCTACTGCCCCCTGGGCTATGGCATAGCAGGCCATGAAGGTAAGGACAGGATGCCATGTCACCGCCTGGCAGATGTTATGCCAGGATACATCTGCCAAGGAGGTGGAAGTGGCCGCCTATGTCCATGTCAAGTGTGCCATAATCCAGCTGGGCGGCATGGCATTAGAGAGCATGCACGTATGCAGGCCAAGACCCACTTCGAGACACACTGGAAGGAGAGGGCCTGACCTCGGGATCTGTCTGCAAAGGCGTGGAGAAGCACGGAAGTCACGGGTCCTGTCGAGGTAGAAGGTGAGGTTGCAACAGACATCAAGTGAGTGCAAGTTCTATCTCCCAGACTGGCATGTGGCTTAGGATGTAAGACTGGTAGGTAAACTGACTGCCTGATGTGGAAATCTGAAACCACCTTCACCAAATTTCTCCTGAAGGTATAAGGAGACCTCGTCCTTATGGAAGACTGCCAGGTGGACCAGGACAGAGCTAAGGGAAAGGCCCGAGGCCTAAGGTTCAAGGAGGTGATGGAGAAAGCATCCAGGGAAAGGTTATGGCGCCAAGCTCAGAAGATGGAACAGGCCTATTTCACTATATAACACACTCTGGTGGAGGCCCGCCTGCTGTGGGTAAGGATGAGGCACACTGGTGCCAACCAGGTGTTAACCACACACAAGCCCCATCCAAAAACCAGGCCATGAGAGTAAGGGGGCCAGGATTGAGGTGGTGGACAGTACCCTGGTCTGGGGTGAGGTCCAGGATCAGGCAGAAAGCCAGAGGAGGTTGGGAAACCACAACTGACCGGGCCAAAATGGAGCGATCAGCAGTATTGTGGCTTGTGTCCTGGCAGATCTTCTGTAGCACCTTGGGAAGGAGGGAAATGGGGCGAGAGGCATAGTGGAGTTTGCCACCCCAAGGCAGGAGAGCACCACTTTGGAAGCTGGGCTCCGTGGCCCCCCAGGAACAGTAAAGGAGGAATTTGTGGGTCTCACACATGGCAAAAAGATCCCAGCAAGGGGTATCCCAGGCATAGCAGAGTGAATGGAGAGTGGGGTCATGGAGTTCCCACTCGTGATTGAGGTATCTGTGCTGGCTGAGCACATGGGCCATGGAGTTCTGCGTGCCTGAGAGATATGCTGCGTTCAGCGTGACATGATGGCGGATGCACCAGTTCCAGAGGTGGATGGATTCTGTACAAAGAGACAGAGACTTGGTGCCACCATGCCTGTTTATGTAAGCCACCACCGTGATCTTGTCAGAGGATTTGACCCGACACAGATGAGCAGCAGGAACATGCGGCAAGCCAAGCGGACTGCTCGAAGCTGGAGGACATTGATGCACTCGTGTGCCTCATGCTGAATCCAAAACCCCTGGGCAATGTGCTCACTCAGAGAATGCCCCAACCGGTGAGGGAGACATCTGTGGTCAAGGTGACAGCTGGGACAGGTGTGGTGAAGGGGGTGCTGAAGAACACCTTGGAGAGTCGATCCACCAGACCAGGGAGGCCCAAACCGAGCAGGGAACAAGCAGTGTGTCATCCAAGTGGGTTGCATGAGGTCAGGCAACTGACAGGAGCTACAGCTGTAGATAGCACATGTGTAATTGGGTATACATCGTTATGTAGGTGAACTGTGGTGCGGGGGTTGCGGTGAAGGTCCACAGCTACAGCCATCAAGGCGGCGAGGCGGCCTGCCAGGAGAAAGGCCCCAGCTGCCATGGACTCGAGAGGAGCATCAAGGAAGTGGATCGTCTGCGTCAGGATGAGCACCGATTTCTCCTCATTAATGCAGACACAGCGTGGCGAGGAGAGAGCGCAGAGCGTGATGGCGGATGTAGCCTGGTGCAGGAAGGCGTGACGAGAAGCCAGCTGTCCAAATACAGGAACATGGAGCATCCCAGACTCCGGAGCTGTGCTGCCACTACTGCAAACTCTTCTGTGAAGACCGTGGGGGGCTGTCGCAATGCCGAAGGGAGGGCCCTGAACTGGTAGTGGTTAGTGCCCTCACGGAAGCAAAAAAATTTGTGGTCAGCCAGGTGGATGTTGATATGAAAGTACGCATCTTTCATGCTGAGAGCTGTGAACCAGACTCCTCAGAGAAGGGAGGGAATAATCAATGTGAAATGAACGTATAGAACTTTGTCTTGCAGATGAAGGTGTTGAGAATCTGGAATCATAGAATATCAGGGTTGGAAGGGACCCCAGAAGGTCATCTAGTCCAACCCCCTGCTCGAAGCAGGACCAATTCCCAGTTAAATCATCCCAGCCAGGGCTTTGTCAAGCCTGACCTTAAAAACCTCTAAGGAAGGAGATTCTACCACCTCCCTAGGTAACGCATTCCAGTGTTTCACCACCCTCTTAGTGAAAAAGTTTTTCCTAATATCCAATCTAAACCTCCCCCACTGCAACTTGAGACCATTACTCCTCGTTCTGTCATCTGCTACCATTGAGAACAGTCTAGAGCCATCCTCTTTGGAACCCCCTTTCAGGTAGTTGAAAGCAGCTATCAAATCCCCCCTCATTCTTCTCTTCTGCAGGCTAAACAATCCCAGCTCCCTCAGCCTCTCCTCATAACTCATGTGTTCCAGACCCCTAATCATTTTTGTTGCCCTTCGCTGGACTCTCTCCAATTTATCCACATCCTTCTTGTAGTGTGGGGCCCAAAACTGGACACAGTACTCCAGATGAGGCCTCACCAATGTCGAATAGAGAGGAACGATCACGTCCCTCGATCTGCTCGCTATGCCCCTACTTGTACATCCCAAAATGCCATTGGCCTTCTTGGCAACAAGGGCACACTGCTGACTCATATCCAGCTTCTCGTCCACTGTCACCCCAGGTCCTTTTCCGCAGAACTGCTGCCTAGCCATTCGGTCCCTAGTCTGTAGCTGTGCATTGGGTTCTTCCGTCCTAAGTGCAGGACCCTGCACTTATCCTTATTGAACCTCATCAGATTTCTTTTGGCCCAATCCTCCAATTTGTCTAGGTCCTTCTGTATCCTATCCCTCCCCTCCAGTGTGTCTACCACTCCTCCCAGTTTAGTATCATCCGCAAATTTGCTGAGAGTGCAATCCACACCATCCTCCAGATCATTTATGAAGATATTGAACAAAACCGGCCCCAGGACCGACCCTTGGGGCACTCCACTTGATACCGGCTGCCAACTAGACATGGAGCCATTGATAACTACCCATTGAGCCCGACAATCTAGCCAGCTTTCTACCCACCTTATAGTGCATTCATCCAGCCCATACTTCCTTAACTTGCTGACAAGAATACTGTGGGAGACCGTGTCAAAAGCTTTGCTAAAGTCAAGAAACAATACATCCACTGCTTTCCCTTCATCCACAGAACCAGTAATCTCATCATAAAAGGCAATTAGATTAGTCAGGCATGACCTTCCCTTGGTGAATCCATGCTGGCTGTTCCTGATCACTTTCCTCTCATGCAAGTGCTTCAGGATTGATTCTTTGAGGACCTGCTCCATGATTTTTCCAGGGACTGAGGTGAGGCTGACTGGCCTGTAGTTCCCAGGATCC